AAGATTGTGCCACTGGCACTCCCGCCTAGGCAACAAGAGCCAAAACTCCATCTCAAAAAAAAAAAAAGAGAAAAAAAGAAAGCTCCCTGATCACTGATCACCATAACAAATAATAATGAAAAACTCTGAAGTATTTTGAGAATTACCAAAATGTGATAACAGAGACACGAAGTGAGCACATGCTGTTGTAAAAATGGCACTGACAGATTTTCAAGGCAGGGCTGCCAAATACCTAGATAATTTGCTAAAAATGCACTACCTGCAACATAAAATAAAGCAAAGCACAACAAGCCAAAGTATACCTGAATTTAAAACCTTAAGAATTCTCCATTTCATAAAAATGAGAAACAGAACAAAATGTGAACATAATGAAATGATTCCTTAGGGCAACTTCGTGGCATACTGCCACCATCTGACCTATTTCAGGAAACAAAGTAAATGATATTGTTTATATCATGACCTCTCCTAAAACAAGGTCTGAGCTGAAGCATTGCTCATTTTTAAAAATATCCAAGTTAGGCCAGGCACGGTGGCTCACACCAACACTCTGGGAAGCCAAGGTGGCAGGATGGCTTGAGGCCAGGAGTTCAACCAGCCTGGGCAACATAGCAAGACCCCGTCTCTACCAAAAAACTTAAAAAACAGCTGAGAGTGATAGAACACTATAGTCTCAGCGACTAAGGAGGCTGAGGCAGCAAGATAGCTTGAGCCCAGGAGCTCAACGCCAGCCTAGGCAACACGGTAGAGATGGGGTTTCACCATGTTGGCCAGGCTGGTCTTGAACTCCTGACCTCAGGTGATCCACCTGCCTCGGCCTCCCAAAGTGCTGAGATTACAGGCAGAGACATCAGGCCTGGCACTGCCTTGATTTTTGACACCCATGATAGATCACCTCTATCATGACTATAAAGAGGTCAGAAGTCAGGCAGAAGAAAGCCTGGGAAAAGCTGACTCTGTCATCTCAGTGCATGTACAAGTGCAAGCAAAGCTCTAGTGTGTTACATGTCAGTTTTCCCACAGTTCTCACTGGGAGCTGACTACAGTCTACTCTGTCTACTGACCTTCAACCTCGCCTCACACTAGTTATATGATAAAAACAGCTATCACAGGAATTCCTGTTGAAAGTTCACAGGTTTACAATTTGTTCCACTGCAAAGGTAACAAAAAATTCTGGTTCTTAAATTTTAGATATAATTTCAAAATGACATCCTATTTCTTTCAATTCCATATACTAACTTAAAATGTGAAATAGCTAGCAGAACTAATTTGCAAAGAGAGATAGTTAAGATGTTAGAAGCATGCTCTTACGAGACGCAGTTAATTTAAGGGAATAAAAGTAGCTTAACTTCTCATTAAGGGTTTGCAAAGACTTCTGCTATAGATGCAAATTGAGGGTACTTGTTTCTATCTCCTCACACTAGGAAAGTTCACAATGTCCATGTTATAGATGCACATAGTATCAGGCCACTGCCCAGGTGAATGTTTAGCTGGAAAAGCAACATTTACTATACCTGAAAATAGCCCAGAGTTGTCTATTGGACCAGGAAATAGGTTATGTTCGCCCACATTGTACATGTCCCAGCTGTCAAAGCCCACATACTTCTTCCACTGCTTGAACCACCGGCTGTCAATAAGATACCTAGAGAGAGACAAAAATTTACTGTAGCAGAAAAGCTGAGATTATAAATGTCTGCAGCTGCTTCCTTAATCTTTTTTATGGTCCTTCCAATTTAGGCATATGCAATCCCCACTAAAAAACACTGTCACAAGAGCAGGAGCAGGGCCTAGGCCCCACATGGCACAGAGAGTCTGGCCCCAGGGTATGCATCCATTAAGTGAAATGATTGTTCAAAGAGTGAATAAAAGAAAGAAAACAAGTGGCTTCAAAATGCTTATTTAAATGGAGTCTTTTTTTTTTTTTTTTGACCGATACTTTCTTTTTTTTTTTGAGACCGAGTCTTATTCTGTCGCCCAGGCTGGAGTGCAGTGCCATGATCTTGGCTCACTGCAACCTCTGCCTCCTGGGTTCCAGTGATTCTCCTGCCTCAGCCTCCCAACTAACTGGGATTACAGGCGCCCACCACCACGCCCAGCTAATTTTTGTATTTTTAGTAAAGATGGGGTTTCACCATATTGGGCAGGCTGGTCTCGAACTCCTGACCTCAGGTGATCCACCCACTTCGGCCTCCCAAAGTGCTGGGATTACAGTGCCTGGCCTTTTTTTTTGAGACAGAGTTTCTCTCTTGTCACCCACGCTGGAGTGCAACAGTGTGATCTCGGCTCTCCGCAACCTCCACTTCCCGGGTCCAAGCGATTCTCCTGCCTCAGCCTCCCATAGCTGGGATTACAGGTGTGTGCCACCACGCCCGGCTAATTTTGTATTTTTAGTAGAGACAGGGTTTCTCCGTGTTGGTCAGGATGGTCTCAAACTCCTGACCTCAGGTAATCTGCCCACCTCAGCCTCCCAAATTGCTGGGATTACAGGCGTGAGCCACCGCACCCTACCACAAGTCATTAACTTCATAATGATCTTTATAGAGGTCCCAGTCCAGGCAGACAGTTTGGTTACACTGTTTTACTTGACATGAACAGCACTAAACTAATGCTCTTTCTGAAAATGGGTTAGAAACACCATCCACTTCAGTTTTCTTTTAAGGACCAAATGAGTTCCAAAAATGTACACACAAGGCCAGGCACAGTGGCTCACACCTATAATCCCAACACTTTGGGAGGCTGAGGCGGATGGTCACTTGAGCTCAGGAGTTCAAGACCAGCCTGGGCAACAAACCCCATCTACTAAAAATACAAAAATTAGCTGAGTGTGGTGGCACATGCCTATAGTCCCAGCTGCTCGGGAGGCTGAGGCACAAGAATCACTTGAACCCGGGAGACAGAAGTTGCAATGAGCTGAGATCACGCCATTGCATTCTAGCCTGGGTGACAGGAATAAAAACCTGTCTCAAAAAAAAAAGTATATAACATGCGTGTACATATATAAATATACACATACACATGTACATATAATAGCACTTAGGTATGTTCATCTTGTCAAAAAGCATTAAGTTGTGCTTCATATTCAACTTACCACTTTTTTACTTAAATGTAAGCAAATGTGGTATTTTATTTATCTATTTATTTCCTTAGAGAGAGGGTCACCCAGGCTAGAGTGCAGTGGCACAATCATAGCTCTCTGTAGCCTCAAACTCCTGGGCTCAAGTGATCCTCCTGCCTCAGCCTCTGAGTAGCTATGACTATAGGTACATACCACCATGTCTGGCTAATTTATTTTTTTATTTTTATTTTGTAGAGGCTAGGTCTTGCTATGTGCAGGCTGATCTTGACACTCCTGCCTCAAGTGAACTTCGCTGCTTCACCTCCAAAGTGCTGGGATTACAGACATGAGACATTGTGCCAGACTATTTAAATTTTAAAGTAACATCACAAGCGTGGAGAGTGGCTCATCGTCTGTAATCCAACACTTTGGGGAGGCCTGAGGGCAGGTGGATCATTGAGGTCAGGAGATCAAGACCCATCCTGGCCAACGATGGTGATGAACCCCGTCTCTACGTAAAAAACGCACAAAAAATTGAAGCTGGGCGTGGGTGGTGCTGTGCTATAACTCAGTACTAGGGAGGCTGAAGCAGCGGAGAATCGCTTGACCCCGGAAGGAGAGATTAGGCAGGACTGAGATCATGGCCACCGCACCTCGCAGCCTGGCAACACAGTCGAGACTCCGTCTCAAAAAAAAAAAAAAAGTATCACTATGCTGTTTTACAATTAAAACAGAATCTCTGTGGAGCAACAAAGCATCAACAATTATATTGGTGCATCCTTAAAATTGTATAACCAACAAATGTGAGAGGAGTTCAGGCAACTTCCCAGAGGTCACAAGGATCCATAAACACATCCGTCTCGAAAATGCTATTTTTCTTCCAAATCCCTTGAGCAATACCTTCCATACAATTTTACTGTATGATTTTAGTCTTAAACTTCCTCTGCTTCTGCTGAGTATTCTTTATGAGCCCTATACAGGTTAACTTGAGAAGTACCTCTGCTAGGCCAGGCGTGGTAGCTCTCGCCTATAATCCCAGCACTTTGGGAGGCCAAGGCGGGTGAATCACTTGAGGTCAGGAGTTTGAGACAAGCCTGACCAAAACGGAGAAACCCTGTCTCTACTAAAAATACAAAAAAAAATTAGCCGGGCATAGTGGCGCATGCCTGTAATCCTAGCTACTGGGGAGGCTGAGGCAGGAGAATCACTTGAACCCTGGAGGCACAGGTTGCCGTGAGCCGAGATCACGCCATTGCACACTAGCCTGGGCAACAAGAGCGAAATTCCTCAAAAAAAAAAAAAAACCCCACAAAAAAAGTACCTGTTTACTCTGACTTTCACAAACTGGCTAGCTCAAGGTGAATACATAAGCTGTTATCTGTACTCCTCATAACCCCAATTTTTCCATCCTCCCGCTCAATTCCTCTGTAGGTCATCATCACAATGGTTTCTTAAAGATGGGTAACACTCGGGCCGGGCACGGTGGCTCCCACCTGTAATGGGAGGCAGAGGCGGCTGGATCACAAGGTCAGGAGTTCGAGACCAGCCTGCCCAGCATGGTGAAACCCGGTCTGTACTAAAAATACAAAAAATTAGCTGGGCATGGTGGTGTGAGACTGTAATCCCAGCTACTCGGGAGGCTGAGGCAGGAGAATCGCTTGAACCCGGGAGGCGGAAGTTGCCCTGAGCCGAGATGGCGCCACTGCACTCCAGCCTGGGCAATAACAGTGAAACTCTGTCTCAAAAAAACAAACAAACAAAAAAACAAGATGGGTAACACTCAATCATACTAAATGCAAAGTCTAGCCTTAGTTTTTGTACTACACAATAATACCACCCAGGAATCTCTCCAGTAGTACAAAGTATTGTCCCCTCCACCAAACAATCTGTTAAGATGCCCAATAACTCAACCTGGGTCTTCTAAATTCTGGACTCTTCATCTTCTATCTAGCTCCAGGACCTAGGCTATCCCCCTCTCCCACTCCGAGATACTGCTGCCACAAATATTTTTGACACTTGCTACCAAAATAATCTGCGGCTCTCAGACATTTGTTCAGCTTCTGACCTTGACATCTGTTGGCAGTTTACAAGTTACAAAGTACTTCTGATTTTCGCCTCAACCCACTGAGGGCGGAGAGCCAAATATTGCTATCCTGGTTTTAACAGTGAGGAATCCAGGTCTGTGACACCTTCGCCCAAGGTCACACGGCGAGTCCTCACGGTAAAGGGCTCTCCCCACCCTCAGGGTCCCCGCCAACATTCCCCTTCTCCACATCCATCCCCCTGGCTCCCGCCGGGCCCACCCACTGGGGCTCCAAATGAGCCGAGGCGACCCTCAGGCCCCGCCTGCGCTTTCCCAGAGCTGATCCTGGAGTTCTCCCGAGGGGCAGGTGTCAGGCTACTCTTCCAGGGTCACTACATACCATCCCCGCCCAGCCCCTACTGTAGCCGAGAAAAAGGGGGCTGGCCTAAGGGCCAGATACTCGGCCCCTGGTTCTGCACAGAGGAAGAGCGAGCCGGATGCTCACCACTGCGCGCCGCGTTGGAGTGTGGTCCTCATTAAGGCTCCAAGCTCCGACTTCTGAGTCTCCGCATCCGGTCGCTCACGGCAGCCTCCACCTTCCGCCATCTCGTCCGCGGCCCCGGCCCAGCCGGCCCGGACATCCGCCCCGCGCGCGGCGTGCTATAGACCGCGCCCACGCACGCACGCACGCTCGCGTGCCCGCCCCTGCCCCACCTCGTGCCGCGGCCTTCGGCTCCTGCAGTCGCTGTCTTTTATCCCCTCCAGTCTCGCGCCACTTCGCTCACCGGCAAACAGTGGAGCGAAAAGGCAGATGCGAGAGGGGTGGGTGGGGAGCAGCAGCTGCTACTTCTTCTCGCCCTGCCGCCTGCTACGCGGTCGTCGGGCGCCCCTTCCTCTGCTCAGGATGGCGCTACAGGATGAAGCTCTGTTCAGCCCGCCGATCTCAGGGAGTCAGACAGCAAGCCCACGACCCATCGGGCACCCTAGCCCGGCCTTCGAGGTTATCCTGGTCCTAAATAAATGCAGGCCAGGTGCGAGAAGCCCCGTAGTTAGGTCTGTTCATTCTCACCCCTGCCATTCCGCTTTCAGCTGGAGGCCTTAGGCGAGTCAGCTGCCCAAACGTGGGATCCGGGCTCCTGCTCCAGCGGCCCTACAGGGATTTCGGGAAGTACCACGTGCATCAGCGCCTTGGGACCAAGACTGAACGGTGTGCTGTAGTTATTAACAGTCGCCTTAAACAATCTGGACGCCAGAGCCACCTGGCCCACCGGAGAATTCCGTCAGCTCTTCATACTGAGCTACTTGTCAAGCAGCCACAGAGGGGCGATAGCAACAGGGGAAGGAGAGGTATTCCACATTAGTTACCCAGGCATGTACTTAGTTCCTGGAACAAGATACAACGTCCTGAACACTGTGTTTTCCAGTCGCTCCGCTCACACAAACACACAACCCTCTTCCTGGAGGGAGAAATAAACCCAGAGGAAAGAGGAAGTCAGGCCTAGATGAGTCTCCATACACTTGTCTAACAGTTCTTGTCCTCAGAGAAAAATAAGACCTAGTTCCTGCCCTCATAGAATCTAGTGGAAGAGTAGAGATGTTTCAGAAATAACCTCAATGCCTAGCAGTATGTGGTAAGTGTAATTAAAGGGTGTGAACCAGGCCAGGTGCGGTGGTTCAAGCCTGTCGTCCCAGCACTTTGGAAGGCTGAGGCGGGAGGATAGCTTTAGCCCAGGAGTTAGAGACCAGCCTCGGCAACATGGCGAAATCCTGTCTCTACAAAAATTAGCCGGGAGGTGGCGCGCGTCTGTGGTCCCAGGTACTCGGGAGGCTGAGGTAGGAGGATCCCTTGAGCCCAGGAGGTCGAAGTTGCAGTGAGTCGAGATGGTGCCACTTCTCTCGAGACTGGATGGCAAAGTGAGACCCTGTCTCAAAAAAACAGTAAATACAAATAAGGGGTGTGAACCGGCCAGGCGCAGTGGCTCACGACTGTAATCCTAGCACTTTGGGAGGCCGAGGCAGGCAGATCACCTGAGGTCGGGAGTTCGAGACCAGCCTGACCAACGTGGAGACGGAAATGTCCTCTCAAAAAAAAAAAAAAAGTGCTGGGCGCCCGGCACGGCAGTTCATGCTTGTAATCCCAGGACTTTGGGAGGCCAAGGCAGGCAGATCACGAGGTTAGGAGTTCGAGACCAGCATGGCTAATATGGTGAAACCCCATCTCTACCAAAAATACAAAAAAATGTTAGCCAGGCGTGGTGGCGCATGTCTATAGTCTGAGCTACTCAGGAGGCAGAGGCAGAAGAATTGCTTGAACCCAGGAGGCGGAGGTTGCAGTGAGCCAAGATTGCACCACTGTACTCCAGCCTGGGCGACAGAGCGAGACCCCCTCTAAAAAAAAACAAAAAAAGGGTGTGAACCAAAGGCTGTAGAACACCAGGCACAACCCCTGCTCTCATAGGAAACCTTTGACTTGAGTAACATTTGAGTGTGGTATTGAAAAAAAATGCTGGCAGAATAAAGATGAGGATGCATGTAACAGGAGGGGAGACTCAAGGGACCAGAAGAGAATTTCTGGAACAGGCAGGACAGTATTAGAGAGTGGGGATTAGGCCAGTTGAGCCGGGCACTACAACACTACTACAACCTAAGGGGATCTAAAGCTAGAAAGGAGGCCAGACAGACCATATATCCTGCCTTAAAAGGCAGGCAGGCATTGTAGGAAGTTTTGGAGCAGAGACAAAATGACTGAGGGTGCTTCACGCCCACGATGGTGTAACTCAGACACAGAACCATTAGGACCCTCTCACTACGGAGGTGGCTGTGAGGGAGGAGAGGAGAAACAGATGAGCCATGTCTATTTTATTTTTTTATTCTTATTTTTCTACCCTATTCCTGTTGAAAAGATGAGCTATGTTTTGTGTCAGGGGTGAAGGAAGGGGAACTGGCCCAGTGAAAATATGATAGGTCATTTGAACAGATTTACTATTTTTATGTTGTGTTTGGCCAACTGAAATTAATTTGCACTCCCTGGGACATCCATCACACACCATCTGATAAGAAAGGCCTCTTGGCAGTTGGGTAGATTAGTAGGGGAAAGTAAATGTGGAATTAAAACTGCCTCAAATAACCACATAGCAATTAATCCCTGTAGATAAGAGTTACCACCACATGATGATTCTACATCTGCAGAGCCAACCCTAACAAGTCCCCTTCTATGAAAGTTCTTTGAAACTCTTCTGTTTTGTTTTGTTTCGTTTTGTTGTTTTTTCTGAGACAGAGTCTCGCTCAGTCCCCCAGGCTGGAGTGCAGTGGGGCAATCCGAGCTCACTGCAACCTCTGCCTCCCTGAATCAAGCAATTCTGCTGCCTCAGCCTCCTGAGTAGTTAGAATTACAGGCGTGCACCACCACGCCTGGCTAATTTTTGTATTTTTAGTAGAGATAGGTTTCACCATCTTGGGCAGGCTGGTCTCAAACTCCTGACCTCATGATCCACCAGCCTCAGCCTCCCAAAGTGTTGGGATTAAAGGTGTGCGCCACCGTGCCCAGCTGAAACTCTTACAAATGTTATCAAAAAAGAAACACTACCTTTAGTCCTGTTATTTATGGAAAAAGAAAGTTGGGGCCGGGCACAGTGGCTCAGGCCTGTAATCCCAGCACTTTGGCTTTGGAAGGCCGAGGCAGGCGGATCACCTGAAGTCAGGAGTTCGAGACCAGCCTGGCTGATGTGGTGAAACCCTGTCGTTACTAAAAATGCAAAAATTAGCTGGGCATGGTGGCGGGCACCTGTAATCCCAGCTACTCAGGAGGCTGAGGTAGGAGAATCACTTGAACCCAGGAGATGGAGGTAGAGGTAGCAGTGAGTCCAGATCGTACTACTGCACTCCAGGCTGGGTGACAGAGTGAGACTCTGTCTCAAAAAAAAAAAAAAAGTTGGTTACTGACATCGGTTCAGAATCTACATTTCAGGGTGTCTGCTTCCCTCTTCTTTTTTTAGCAGTTTCTCCTACACCATTTATGGCAGTCTTAAGGAGGACAAGTAGGACAAGTCCTCAGCACCACTAGAAAAGGGGACAAAACCAGGCTGGGCGCGGTGGCTCAAGCCTGTAATCCCAGCACTTTGGGAGGCCGAGACGGGCGGATCACGAGGTCAGGAGATCGAAACCATCCTGGCTAACTTGGCCCGCTCATTTTAGTCTCCTACTCTTAAAAATACAAAAAAAACAATATAGCGGGGTGCGAGGCCGTCGTTGGTGGGCAAGGCGACGGTGTCTACTCTTTTTATTTTCTTTTTTTTTTTGGACGCCCACTACGACCCGCGTAGCCTGAGGGCGGGAGACGACGCGCCGCGCGGTCGAACCCGCACCGAGAGGGTGGGACCCTTGCAGTGAGCAGAGGATTGCGCATTTCCACTCCACGCCTGGGCGACAGAGAGAACTCTGCTCTCCAAAAAAAAAAAAAAAAAAAAAAAAAGCCATAGTTAGACAGGTCACCTTTTTTTTTTTTTTTTTTGTGGTGTAATCAATAGCTTCCTTGCAGCCTCCGACCTACCTTTGCGGCGTCAAGTGGGATCCTCACACCCTC